TGGTGAACCCAAGGTCGGCAGGTCGGAGAGGGGCTCCCGCTCACAGGCTGTGAAGGTCAATAAATTCCAAGATCAGCAGACAAGACAACAAGGTTTCTCCTGATTCACATAGCTGCAGGGGCTGGCGAACCCAAGGTCAGTAGGTTGGGGAACTGGACCCTTGCTTGCAGGCTGAGAAGTTTGAAGAATTCCAAGATAAATAGGTATGCTGCTAGCTGAAGTCCCATGAACCGGAGATGAGACAACAAGAGGCAGCTGCTGAGTCTGGAACAAGCCAAAAACCTTGGCAAGGTGAGCAGGCAGAAAGTAACGAGCGGAAGGCAGAGAGATGAAACTGAGAGGGCGGTGAGTTGCCACAGGCCCCGTCTCCGCCAGTACCACTCAACAGATTCCATCATGGGGGTGATTACAACATTATACAACTGCTAAAACACTGAGAATAATGGTCTAGCCAAGTTGACATACAATCTTAACCATCACAGTTGATATCTGGTTACTCCATCCTGTGTTCTAGTCTTGAGTTGTTATCTGATGTTATTGATTTTCTAAACAGAGGACTCCCTTTAGTATTTCTTGTAATTTTGGTTTGGTTTTTGCAAATTCCCTAAACTTCTGTTTATCCGGAAATGCCCTAATTTGGCCATCATATTTGAGAGACAGTTTTGCTGGATATATAATTCTTGGCTGGCAGTTCTTTTTCCTTCAAGGCTTTATTTATATCATCCCATTGCCTTCTTGCGTGCATAGTTTCTGCTGAGTAGTCCAAGCTTACTCTTACTGACTCTCCTTTGTAGATGACTTTTCGTTTATCCCTAGCCACTCTTAAAATTCTCTCTTTATCTTTGGTTTTGGCAAGTTTAATTATAATATGTCTTGGTGACTTTCTTTTGAGATCTACCTTGTGTAGGGTTTGATGAGCATCTTGGATAGACATCTTGTCATCTTTCATGATATCAGGGAAGTTTTCTGCCAACAAATCTTCAACAATTCTCTCTGTGTTTTCTGTTATCCCCCCTGTTCTGGTACTCCAACCACTCATAGGTTATTCCTCTTGAAAGAGTCCCACATAATTCTTAGGGTTTCTTCATTTTTTAAAATCTTTTTATATGATTTTTCCTCAAATAAGTTGGTGTCAAGTGCTTTATTTTCAATCTCACTAATTCTGACTTCCATTGGCACAGTTCTGCTCCTACGACTTTCTATTGAGTTGTCCAATTCTGACATTTTACTGTTAATCTTCAGGATTTCTGATTGCTGTCTCTCTATGGATTCTTGCAGCCTGTTAAATTTGTCATTATGCTCTTCTCTAATCTTTTTAATTTCTTCTATTGAGTTTTCTGCATTTTGCTTAATTTCCTTCCTAATTTCTTGAAGAGTTCTGTATATTAATCTTTTGTATTCTGCCTCCAGTAATGCCAAGAAATTTTCCTCATCTGGAAAATTTCTAGATTCTTTATTTTGGGAGCTTGCTGAAGCCATCATGGTCTGCCTCTTTATATGGTTTGATATTGACTGTTGTCTCCAAGTCATCAATAAGTTATTATATTTATTTATTTTATGTTTGCTTACTGTGTCCTAGCTTCTTGTTTTGTTTTGATATGCCCAAATAGGCTGCTCGTATGAGCTAGTTTGATTATTGGCATCCTTTGAAGCTCTAATGTCCTGTCACCGGGTGGTTAGATCTATTACTAGGTATTGGAGCTCAGGAGCCCACCCACTCCTCCTGTACGGATTCAGCTCAGGTCCCCAGGTAGATAGCCACCAAGTGTGTGGGGCAGGCCCTCACTTACAGTCCTAGAGAGGCATGGGTGATTGGTGTAGGGACAGGCATCTGGCTGCAGCAGGGGGACACAGTTTGAGCAAGGCAGGGGGCTGACGGCCACCCCCGAGTGTCCAGGAGGAAGGCGTGTCCCTGTTCCCTAGAGCACATAGGTGGTGGGTTTTGCAGCTGGACTATGAGCACCTAATGCTGTTGGCTGTAAGGACTGGGGGGTACATCTTATTCACGGGCCTCTATTGCAGGTGGCTAGGTGGCATGGGTGGAGCCACCAGTCTTCAGTCCCCTGATGTGAGTAGGTGAAGACCCTGCTTAATGGGCAGAGTAGTGTCAAATGTCAAGAACCTGCCACTTCACAGTTGAAACAGTTGAAGTTAGACTTCCACTATACACCCTGTTGTACTGCGGTAATGAGGGCCTACGCTGTTGAGATGGGCCCACAGAAGTCTATGCAGGGGGAAAGGTACTCAAAGTCTGTGGATCCCTTATGCCTGTGCCTAGGCAAAGGAGCTATGCTTACCCTGGGTTCCTGGCTTAGGGGAGCTGGCAGTTTATTTTTTCTCCTCTTTGTTAATTTGTTCACTTTCCAAGGCAGGGAGAATGGCTCCGAGCATGTGACAGACCCTACTTCCGGCCCAGGGGACTCGGCAATTGCTGAAGCCGGTCCCAGACCCAGTGCCAAGCAGGGAATGGGGAGGTAAATGGGAGAGAGGTTTTTCCCTATGGGGGGTGTTTTTGATCTGCATAGTAGGCCGTACGCAATTACTTATCTTTTGCTGATGAGGGCTGCCTCTCACTGGTTCTGGGTGGCCGAGTAGACTCTCTGGTGCTGGGTCTCTCCTGGTGCGGAAAACGTGCCTCCCAAGCATGGCTGCTTGCCTGCCTCACAGCTCACCCCCGAGCTGATCAGGCCTGAATGGGTCAGGCTCTCGCCAGGTCAGGTCTGGCAACTCCTCCCTGCTTCGGAACCGTCTTCCCCTCCCCCGCCACTCAGTCCGGTCCCTCAACTCTGCCTTTGATGTTCAGAGCTCCCAGATTGCCATATATAATCCAACCACCTGTTGATTTAAGTCTATGTTGTAAGAGTGTCCACCAGAAGCGTCTGACTACTCTGCCATCTTGGCCCCACCCTCAAAGATACTCACATTAATGGTGAGAATATAATTTAGCATGACCTTTATGGAAAGCAATCTGTCAATATGCACCAACAGCCTTAAAAATGTTTATGCCTTTTGAACTACTAATTCTATTTCTAAAAATCTGGCCCAAGAAGACCATTATAAATGTGGACAATATACGTAAATGCTTGTGTTAGCATTATTTACAATAAGGACAAATCATAAACAACCCTAAATGTCTAGTATTAGGGGACTGGTTAAGTATATTTTAATTTGTTCATGCAATTGAGTAGTATGATATTTACAAAGAGCTTTTAAAAGGCAACAAAATGCTTAAAATATAAAATGGAAAAAGCAGGATTCAGAAATGTATATATAATTAATGTCCTCAGATATGTGAATTAAAGTTAATTAAAAAGAAAGGCTGGAAGGCAATATGCCAAAATGTTAAAAGTGGTTGCTTCTGGCTGGATAGATGCAGGACTGATTTTTCTGTGCTTTTCTGATTTTCTTCAGTGAGAATTATTACTTTAATAATACTGAAAAAGAAAACAGTAAGAAACTGACAACAATTTTTTAAGTGAGTTAAGTATTTCATAGCTCTTATTAAGAAAGTTAATTTGCTTTTTACTTTTGTAGACCTCAGTGTGGTGTGTGCATATCACTGACTTTTGTTTTTCTTAATAATATTTTATTGTGTTTTTGGTAAAAGTTTACACAGCAAATTAGGTTCCCCTCTGACAATTTCTATACAGCTTGCTCAGTGATACTACTTACTTTTTTCACCGTGTGTCAATATTTCTCTTTAATTGTGTTCTGGTTGTTCCATTTCCAGTACTCTAGTTTCCCTGCCTCCTTATCTTCCCATCTTTGCTTTAGAGTAATTGTTGACCTTTTGGTCTCATATAGATTTTTTAAAAATTATTATTATTTTTTATTGTACTTCAGATGAAGGTTTACAGAGCATATTAGTTTCTCATTAAGCAATTAATACACATATTGTTTTGTGACATTGATTGCCAACCCTCATGACATGTCAACACTCTCCCCTTCTCGACTTTGGGTTCCCCACTACCAGCTTTCCTGTCCCTTCCTGCCTTCTCGTCCTTGCCCCTGGGTGGTGTGCCCCTTTAGTCTCATTTTGCTTTATGGGCCGGTCTAATCTTCGGCTGAAGGGTGAACTTCAGGAGTGACTTCAGTACTGAGTTAAAAGAGTATCTGGGGGCCATACTCTTGGGGTTTCTCCAGTCTCTGTCAGACCAGTAAGTCTGGTCTTTTTTTGTGAGTTAGAATTTTCAACATTTTTCTTTGGCTCTGTCCGGGACCCTCTATTGTGATCCCTGTCAGGGCAGTCATTGGTGGTAGCTGGGCACTATATAGCTGTGCTGGACTCAGTCTGGTGGAGGCTGTGGTACTTGTGGTCCATCAGTCCTCATATAGATGGTTTTTTAATGGAGCACTGTACTAATGGATAACATCCTTTATTTTGTGTGCCAGTCTGTTGTTTCTCTAAAAGGTGACCTCAGGAGATAGTTTCATTTCAAGGTTTAAAGAGTATCTCACGGTGATAGTCTCAGGAAGTCCTCTAGTCGCAACTGGTCCACTAAGTCTGGACTTTTTAAGAATTTGAGCTCTGTTCCATGTTTTTCTCCCATTCTGTCAGCATCCATCTGTTGTGGCCCTGATCAGAACAGTCAGCAGTGGTAGGTGGGCACCATCTAGTTCTTCTGGTCTCAGGGTAGATGAGGCTCTGGCTCATGTAGGCTGTTAGACTTGTAGACTAGTTTCTTCTCTGAGACTTTGATTTCCTTCTTTCTCTTTTGTTCCTAACTAGTAAAGACCAATAGTTGTATCTTAGAATCTTAGATGGCTGCTTATAAGCTTTTAAGACCCCAGATGCTAATCACCTCATTAGGATGCAGAACATGAACTTCATGATGCCAATTGACTGAGTTGTCCCATGAAAATATCAGTAACACTTAAAACTAAGAATTCTGTTCTTCCCGCACAGCACCAGATATTGATACCCATCAGTCCTCATGGTGTCATATGCTGTCCATTCCCATCAACCATTTCTGCTAAATAGTATGGAGGGAGCTACTTACTGTTGTCTCAGTGGAGCTGCTGGACAACTTGGGCACCAGGCAGTGAGTGAATTTGATCCTAGGGTCTTTGGTGGTGATGGACAGGCCTTTCTGCAGAATTCTCACCAAGCGGGTCCAGAACTGAAACACGGCCTCAGGGTGTTTTTCGTGGAGCCTCAGGTAGTAGATCTTTTCAGTCACTGTCCTCACCCTCAGAACGCGCTGAAGCCGGTCACAGACCTGCATCTCCACGTACTTCAGGGGCAGAATCCTGAACACAATTGGGAAATCCATAGCAGAGCCCATGATTTTAATCAACCTTGTTGGCACCTACCTAGAGCCTGACTCTGATCATGAGCCTCCCCTCTGTGCTTGGGAGACCCCAAGACAGAAGGCTCACAGGCTGGATTATTATTAAATAATATGTCCACATCAATAACAATGGCTAGTATTTGATGTATAATACTTCATTTAATCCTCACAACAATCCTTTGATGAAGGAAGGGTAAGTATTCTTTCCGTTTCACAGATTGTGAAACTGAGGCTTAGAGAAGCTAAGTGATTTGCCCAAGTTTAGATCTCATTAAGTAGAAACTGGAACTACAGTTTTCTGACTCTGTTTCTGGGCTTCTTTCTGCCCTCTCTCAGGACGTTTCTGGCAAAAAACACTGAGTTGAAAGGGCAAGGAAAAGGATGGACTGTCTACCTCCTTGTTTCCTAGATCTCCAGTATTTTTTTTTTTTTTCAATCTCAATACCTTGAAATCCAGTATGACTTTCACAATCTTCACCTTTTCTTTGGAAATTCCCTAAACTGTATTGATACAATAAATGTAAATAAAGGAAGTTAAGATCCTTGAAAACTAGGCTCCACCAGACAAGGAACGTGACCTGCTCTAGCCTCAGCTTTAAGCACAGTGCTGGGTACATTAAAAAAAAAAAAAAAAGACCTCATTCCTATTGAGTCGATTCTGACTCATAGTGACTCTATGGGACTGAGTAGAACTGCCCCATAGTGTTTCCAAGGAGCGGCTGGTGGATTCGAACTGCCGACCTTTTGGTTAGCAGCCAAACTCTTAACCACCGGCCACTAGGGCTCCACTCAGTACATAGTAGGTGCTAAATAAGTATTTGATGAATAAATGAATTCTACATAGTGCATACACTAAAGAACACTGCCCTTCCTTTTTATCTAAAACCCAGCTGCAAAACAATGCACAGAACAGTCAACCACCCCATCCTCTTGCTGCCCCACTTCAAGCTTTTCTTTACCTGCTGAGGGTGATGACTGGGGCATCACCAGGTTTTCTCCAGGTGGCAAAAGGACCCCGGGGCCAGATGACCGTGGCCATCAGGAGGACATTGGGGAGTGGCAAGGAGGGCACAGAGGAGGTCACCCCGAGGACCACGGTGGTAGACCCTCCAGAAACATTCATCCATTTTCCGGGCTTAGTGACCTGGAAATCAGCCCCCAGATACATAAGTCAGAGAAAAGAAAAGTGAAGGGTGGAAGGTTGGTAGGAAGGGGCACTACATCTTGGTGACAGGTTTGGAGCACCTGTGCTTCTTGTAGGTGTGCAGCATGCTGGGCTGGCCATGACCTATTAGCAATCCTTTTTGTTGGTCTCCCCAAATCACCGCTAAGCTCACTGGCAACAGGAACCATGTGCTGGATGTCTTTGTGTCCTCTGCATTACCTAACTGGAAATGGATGTACTAGTAAGAAAGAGCCGTGTGGCATAGAAATTTTTCCCCCCACCCACAGGGAGAAGCCAGCATTGGTTTCTAATGGCCTGGAAGAAAACTTGTGCAAAGTTTCAGAAAGGGTGGAGAATGAGGCAAGACCTGTTGAATGGGAAGGCTCAGGTGGCCCATCTGGAGGGAGATTTGGGGGCTTTCTCCAGGATGAGGGAGGGTCTGGGTGGTTACTAGGCTCTTTCGCTCTACCTTAGGGGCCGTGGAAGGACAGGGAGATGGCATACAAGGCACTGGGTATTCAGTCTTGGCTAAGACACCCTTCACTGTTCAGGCCAGCAGGGAAGCAACTCTGAGGAACCACAGGGACCAGGGTAAGGAACACATAAGGGGTAACCCTATGTTCCAAAGACCAGAGGGCTGTCTCCCCAGTGTCCTAGACTTTGTGAGGCCATTGGGGCCATGCAGTGGGGCTGGGGGCAAGGGAAATCCCCAGGAATGACTGAAATAGAATGGTCCACAAATCCAATCAGATGGTGCTTCAAGAAAAGGAAATTCTGAAAAAAATTATATTTCTTCGAGCCCATATTGTGGGATGAAATGCATATCCACTACAAAACACAGGGAGTCAGTCCGTGGGTGGTGCAAAAGGTTAAAGTGCTCGGCTGCTCACCAAAAGGTTGAAGGTGTGGGTCCTTCCAGAGGTGCCTTGGAAGAAAGGCCTGGTGATCTACTTCTGAAAAATCAGCCATTGAAAACCCTACGAAACACAGTTCTACTCTGGCACACATGGGATACTGTTTTTTTTTTTTTTGCAAAGGAGCACAGGTTCATAAATTCAAGCTGGACCACTAGAGGGAGACAAGCAGCACCCTAGTAAGATTGGATACATATTAAAATGACCACTCCACACTTTCAGTGGCTCCAAGTTTCCCCAGGCCACAGATGCTCACTTCCACTGGTCATATTATCACTTTTCTGGGGGTGGGAAGAACTTCGGCATGGCTGATTTACCCAGTGGCCTTGCTGTTACACAAGGCTGTTTTCAAACCATCTCAGGGAGTGGAGGTTGGATTTCAGAGCAGGGATTCGAGCTGCACACTTCATTCATTCTAACCATCCTGTTTGGACTAGTCCCAGGAAGGGTGCCTGTGGACCCTGCCTGGAGAGTGAGATCTGATTTCTCCTTTTGCAGGGTATCGAGCTATTCCCTACCTGTAGCTTTGGTACAGGAGTCCCTCGTGGTGCAGTCGATTAAGTGCTCGACTACCAACTGAAATGTTGGTGGTTTGAACCCACCTAGAGTCTCCTCAGAAGAAAGACCTGGCGATCTGTTTCCGAAAGCCATAGCCTTGAAAACCCTATGGAGTGCGGTTCTACTCTGCACACATGGTGTTGCTATGAGTGGGAACCAACTTGATGGCAACTGGTTTGGGCTTTTTGGTTTACCTTCGGTATAGGTAGCTCCAAGATACTGTAGACACAGACTGAGGTGACCGTGGGACCCAGACCCTCTGGTTTTCTCTAGCCTTAGTGGCTTCATTTTCTTCCCCAGGGCTTTCACAGGCCACAGTATCTCTTGCTAACCCCAGGGAACAGGTTTTAGAAAGGGAAGGAGAGCTGGCCCTGAGCTACACAAGGGTACCTGGATAAAGTTGCTTTCAAACACCATAGAGCTGGAGAACAAGTTGAATTCTGGAGAATGAATCAGTTGACAAAGAAGGCCATTTTCCACCCCAAGTTCCACTCCAGGGCCTGGTTCCCTGACCTCAGGCGGGAGGCCCCTAATCCTGCTCATTTGTTCTTGGGAAGAATAGGCTGGGGGACATCTCTAGGGCTCCACGCAGACCCAGCCCAACTCCAAGGTGTTGGTGTGACCACTGCTCCCCCAGCCCTCCAAGCCCACCTCCCTTCCTTACGCATGGGCTACACCGCCACCCCCCAGGGTGGAAGAGCCTGTGGGCTCACAATGGCTTGAATGACATCAAGGAATGTGATGGGTAACAAACAACAGGGAAGGGAAAAGAGAAGAGGAAAGGAGGAATTGAGGATAAGCAGGACTCTTTTCTCCTCCCTTCTCACTAGCTACAAATCAGCAGTCACGGAGCCTCTCCCGCTTTTCAAACACGCAACGTTTTCCCAAAGGTGAGGAAAATGGCTCTCCAGAAACTCACAGCCTTTCATCCTCTCCCTCACGGTGAAGCCTCCCAGAAACACCCTCTGGAAGCATGAACTGTTCACCCAAAGCCAGTCCCTGACCTGCCAGAGGAGTTAAGGGCAGGAGAGAGCCGTTTATCCCAAATTTCCCTACCCCATCTCATGATGAGCCTTCTTTTTTATAAAAAAAAAATACTGGACAGTTAACAAAGAAAAGAGGTTTATTCATTTGAAAACAGTGGGAAAAGGAAGAAGTACTGACACCATGGCATGCTGGAACCAGCTCAAAACAAGTTGTGAGAGCCAACAAAGTTTTAATAATTTTGTGAGCTAATTGTTAAACACAGCCATTATTAAAAATTAAATTATATACACTTATAAGTAAATAAGTTTATTAAAAACAAAGGTAATAAGTATCCCAAACTCATCACTTTCGAATTATTTTACTGCTCGGAGGTTATTTGCATCTATTGTGTCTGTCTAGTAGAAACAGTATTTAATGGAGTGCTAGGGCACATCTCTTCCCAATGTGTGTTTAGTAACTTCAGGCTGGGAGCGAGCTTGAAATCTGCCATGTGGGGAGTTATTTACACTATGGAAATCAGCAAATGTTACAAATCAGGGCTTCATTTACTGTTTCATTGAGTGTCTACAGTGATGGAGAAAAATGTTAATGATACAGGTTCTGTTTAAAAGTGTCTCTGTAGCTATTATAGGTCCCTGGGTGGTGCGAACAGTTTGCACTCAGCTACTAACTTAAAGGTGGGTAGTTTGAATCCACCTAGTGATGCTGCAGAAGAAAGGTCTGGAAATCTGCTTCCATAAAGATTACAGCCAAGAAAACCCTACCGAGCAGTTCTACTCTGTAACACATGGGGTAGCCATGGGTTTTGTTTTTTTTCTGTAGCTATTACATTGTGGACACAAAAAAATCTGAGGAAATATTTATCCAGTATTTGAAAACCATTATCTGCTTTAGCAAAGAAGTTGCTCAAGTCATTGACGAATGAAGTTCCAACGTACATCTTTTTATTTCACTTCCGTCTTATCAATGTAAATGAAGTATCAGCTAACATTCACGTTGCTCGTCATGAAGCAACTTTTTCATTAGTTGCAACCATAGGTTATCTACGTATACAAGAGTTTGACAAAAAATCAATAACAATTTCCTGTGAGAATCAGTTGACTATATGAAATTTATAATAAAAAGTTATTATTTACCCCAGACACCCTTTTAACTCAGTACTGAAGTCCCTCCTGAGGTTTACCCTTCAGCCAAAGATTAGACAAGCCCATAAAACAAAACAAGACTCCATGGGCACACCAGCTCAGGCAAGGACGAGATGGCAGGAGGGGACAGGAAAGCTGGCAATGGGGAACCCAAGGCCGAGAAGGGGAGAGTTTTGACAGTCATGGGGTTGGCAACCAATGTCACAAAACAATATGTGTATTAATTGTTTAACGAGAAACTAATTTGTTTTGTAAACCTTCATCTAAAAGTACAATAAAAAAATTCAACAACAAAAAAGTATTTATATATATATATATATGCATAAATGTATTTTCCCTTGGAGAGCTGGTTGCTAAACATTTACTAGCACAGCATTGTAGTGGCACCAACTCCTCCCCTCCCCCAACTATCTCCCATCCTTGGTACCAGAGCCAGAAACTGTCACTAAGGACCTCTTCTTCAGGTTTCATGAAGTTGGGGAGAGATGAGGTGTTCATCATCCCCCTCAGACTATGGCTGGACAGCTACCAGGCTCCCACCTTGTAACAAATGTTCTGTTTGTGGTCTACTCAGTGCCAAATTTTTCACAGAATTTTTGTGCTTATTGATGATCTGTTTCAAATGGTCCCCAGGAATAGCGCTGAAGCGCTGCCTAGTAATCTTAAAAGAAAGCTGTGATGTGCCTTACAGAGAAAACACATGTGTTAGATAAGCTTCTTTCAGGCATGGGTTATAGTGCTGTTGACTACAAGTTCAATGTTAATGAATATATATTAAGTAAAATGTTTTTAAACAAAATCCATGTAAAATAAGGTTATGTATTAATTGGTCCCTGGGTGGTGCAAAAGGTGGGAAGCTGGAAATACCAGGTGTCTTGCCTATCCAGTGCTGCTATAACAGAAATACCGCAAGTGGGTGGCTTTAACAAAGAGAAATTTATTCTCACAGTTTAGGAGGGTAGAAGTCTGAATTCATGGTTCCAGCTTCAGGGGCAGGCTTTTTGTCTCTGTCGGCTCTAGGGGAAGGTCCTTGTCATCAATCTTCCCCTGGTTAAGGAGCTTCTCAGCTCATCCGGGTCCAGGATGAGCTCCCCTACTGGCTCTCCTTGCTTGGTGGTAAATGAGGTCCCCTTGTCTTTCTGCTCTCTTCTCTCTTTTATATCTCAAAAGAGACTGACTTAAGACACAGTCTAATCTTGTAGATCGAGTCTTGTCTCATTAACATAACTGCCTCTAATCCTGCCTCATTAACATTATAGAGGTAGGATTTACAAAACATAGGAAAATCACATGAGAAAATGTGCACAATCACACAATACTGGGAATCATGGCCTAGCCAAGGTGACACATATTTTTGGGGGACATGATTCAATCCATGACATTCTACCCTTTGACCCCCCAAAATTCATGTCCTTGCCACATGTAAAACACATTCACTCCATCATATAGCAAAAGACTTAAATAAATTCCAAGTCCAAGATCCAAAAAAATTCATCTTCATTTGTGAAATCTAGAATACAAGTTATCTGCTTCCAAAGTACAATGGTGGAACAGGCACAAGATAGACATTTCCATTACAAATGGGAGATCCTTGAGGAAAAGAAGGGATAACAGGCACCAAGCAAGTCAGCAGAACATATACATTGGCTCTCAAGCCTCGAAAATAATCCTCTGTGTTCTGAGACCATTTAGGCAACGGCCCTGCCCTCCTGATTCTGGGTGTTGGCCCCTCAGCCCTGGGCTTCAGCTCCGCCTTCCAGGCCCACTGGAATGGCAACTCTGCTCCCTCAAATTCGGGTGGCCCCAGAGGCCATGACTTCACCCTTTGAGACCCCAGAGGTTGTGGCCCTACCCTTTGAGACTGAGGCAGCTCTGCTTCGTGTGTTCCTTGTCTCTTTAGCTTCTGCTTCCTCGTTCCTTGGCCTCTCAGCCCTTGGCCTCGCAGCTCACATCTGCCCTCTGGGGCAACTGTGCCAAAGCTCTGCAGTTCCACTGATAAGTGCCTGGAGGCACCCCACTCCACCAGTAAACCTCAGCTGGAAGGCACTCAACTCTCTTGATTTGTGGGTCAGCAAGACTAGCTCCACCAATAAGTGCCCGGCGGCACCCTACTCCACCAGGAAGCCTCCTGCCAAAGCAGGAGAGCACTGAGCTCTCTCTCTCCATGGGTTGGCTCTAGCACTGTCTTGCACTGGTCTCCAGGTTTTGCTGCTGCTTCTTGCCATCTGTGCCATCTCCAGTGTAACAGCTCTCCTCATTTCCTTCTGAGTCCTTACCAGAATTGTCTTTGATGTCCATAATTCCAGCGACAGTCTCTTCAAGGCAATCTAGGCTTTTACAGTTAGGCACTCTGAAACTCTTTCAGCCTCTATCCATTCAGTTTCAAAACAGCTTCCACATTTTAGGTATCTGTCGGAGCAGCATCTCACTTTTCCAGTACCGAATTCAGGGCGCCAGCTCCAGGGGAAGGCTTTCTCTCTCTCTGTCAGCTCTGGAGGAAAGTCCTTGTCATCAACCTTCCTCCAGTCAAGGAGCTTCTCAGTGCAGGGACCCTGGGTCCAAAGGACATGTTCTAATCCTGGTGCTGCTTTCTTGGTGGTATGAGGTCCCCCTTTCTGCTTACTTCTCTTTTACTTCTCAAAAGAGATTGACTTTAAGACACAACCTAATCTTGTAGATTGAGTCCTGTCTCATTAACATAACTGCCTCTAATCCTGCCTCATTAACATCATACAGGTAGGATTTATAACATGTAGGAAAATCACATCATATGACAAAATGGTGGACAATCACATAATACTGGGAATCATGGCCTAGCCAAGTTGATAGGTTTTTCTGGGGGACACAATTTAATCCACAACACCTGGTAAACAGCATTAATGACTACCAGGGTGTACAATAAATAAAAGTGATGCCCAAGCCATTGGATTCTCGGATAGTGGAACTTAACTTTAAAAACACATTGGAGGACTTCCGGGCAACATGGTGCTATAGTCAGAAGCACCATGCCATCCCTCCGCAGCAAAGATCAGAAAAACTAAGTCAAACAGAGTCATACGTCAATCCCGAAACCCTAAGCATCAAATGAAGAGATAAAGAACTCAGCCAAGCACCAAATGGAATAAGAAACTAACTGAAAACGGAGAGCAAGGAGAGATACACGCAGAGGTCCCCTATCAGCTACCGCAGCACAGATCCTCCATCTTGGACTCCTATATGAGATCAGCGAACAGGGGGTACAAGAAAGCAGCTTCATGGAGCTTCCAGCAGGAGAGAGAACAACCAGTAACCGGCGATATATGCTTTCCCACCCCCACCCTTCTTCACCCCCACTTAGCCTCCTCTGCTTCCTGCAGCCAGTCTCTTGGCTGGGAAGCACAAGCTTTACCCCGGTGTCACTTGGATTCCACC